TTACGTGAAAGCTTTCTTAAATATGTTTGCATGTTGAGACACTGTTCGAACGAAAAATGCTCGTATCTACTAGTTGAAAACCTGCTTTTATTATAACTACCATTTTTTAGCACAAAAGAACATCCCCACTTGTCAGAAAATGCAATTTTCTCCCCAAAAAAAACGGATTTTCCATGTCTCTCAATGCACCTTCTAACACGTACTACCTCAAAACTGAAAATAAAATCCGGTAGATGGAGCGAGTGTTTTGGACCAAAGATATTTACCTAGCGTATGGGAGCCAATGATCGAAAATGACCTATCAATGATGATTGCAAATTTAATACAGAATTCAAAGATTATTAGAATATTTGGGTGTACCATAGTAAAAACCAAAATTGATGCTGGTAGCTTTTTAATTAGACACCCTGTATACTTTGTAAACTAAAACACACAAAACAAAAAAGACACCATGTATACTAAAAGCCCTTTTAGTTTATGCTGATCGTAAAATTAAGGCAAATTAAGAAACGACGATACTTTGGTTTTTTACCTATAACTATATATACTACCTGGAATCGTTAAGATAGAATCAAGCTATTTTATATTAATGGAACACTATGTAGAAGGTGTTTCCTCATAAGTTAACCTCCCCAGATTGTTTATCTCGAAAAAAATGTGAAAGTCACCAACGCAAAAGTTGTTTAATTTTGCTCAATTGTCTTAAATCTGAATTTAGAATAAAAATACAAAACACAGAAATGTCAAAGTTTGACACAGTCTTTTTTTACCCGTTAATGGGGATCTTGAACTAGAGCAGGCCGACAATGCGGATTTTTTATTTGACATTTTGGCCCCAAAGTGTAAAGTTATGAAACTTTACTAACTAACCCACTTGTTTTATAGGAAATTCTGTTTTCCACCTTCTGTCAGTGTCAAATATGAAAGTAGTTGCAAATGCAACCGGTTTTCGGGCCCTTTATAGCGAATTTACAGTCGAAACTGGCTGAAATTACACAGGGCCGTTCTGGGGCTGGTGTTAATGTCATTCTATGTAAAATGTTTACACAATTTTTACTTTTTGATTATCGCAAAAAACGGCTTATGGTAACCAAATGACCAAATTTGGTGTGCACAATGTAAAGACCGATTGGATATCATCAAGCTTGGTTTCCATTGCAACCGTTGTCTCGCAAGCTTGGCGGCAACTAATCAGATCGATACGAAAATGATCGGAATCGATGGAGAGGATCAAACTGATGAAGACAAGTCCCTTAGCAACAGTGTCAACAATGCGGTTTCCATGGTAACTTTTGACATTTCCGTGTTTTATATTTTTACTTTAAATTAAGATTTAAAAAAATTGAGTAAATTTAAATAACTTTTGTGTTAGTGACTTTAATTTGTTCTTAATAAACGATCTAGGGGATGTCAACTTATGTCGACACACCTTGTACATTGTTATATAACAGCAAATGATCGCAAGACAATTTGTTTGTGTTTCTTATTGCTTGTATTTGATTTGTCCAATTTTTTACGTTTAGTTTAATTAATTGTCCGTTTGCAGATCACATTGCACGTTATGGAAGAATGAATGAAGAACAAGCTAGAATTAAGTTCTGGCAAATATTGTTAGCTGTTGAATACTGCCATAATCGTAATATAGTACATCGAGACTTAAAGGTATGTGCACTTGTAATTTACGAGAATGTTCACATAAATATCTAAAACAGGATTTTAATGGAATTTATCTCCATGATAGATTCAACTATACGGCTACTTTGTACACTTTGTAATTTTTAAGCGCTCATAAGATTGCAGGTTTAAAAGCGATTTCAACAAAATATATTCTGCGTTATACCCAACTTAAATATTTCTAACATGATGGTCAAGTGCGAAATTTGATTAATTTTTTTAAATGATAAGGACACTTTTATTGCTTCAACCCCTATTTGGCAGTTTGTCTGCTGTCTTGTGCTCATAAATTTCCTGTTTTATAAACGTCTTCAATGATCCAAGCGTTTTTATACCCTATTTCAAGGCCTTTAATATAAGCAATTAAGTACGAAATGCGATTGAATTTTAAAGGCATTCTAGAATATGTGAAGATTACTTTTGTCACTTTCGCGCTTTTGCCATTTTTGCGTGTTTTGTGTCCAAAACTCTGCCATATTTGGTCCATCACCAGTAAGTAACCACCCAAGACCTAAATGAGATTGCTTCTTCAAGTAACGGGTCTTTAAGCGTCTCTTCAGAGTGGATTTGGAAATCCTTGGAAAGTTGGGATGGTTTGTACCCAAGTTACAAATTTAACCGCTGACCACGGCATTCGGCACTCGGTCGTGCGGCAGGACCCTCGCACACTCTGCTTTTACCAGGTCTGATTATTGAACCTATTGACTCTGAAACATTCAGTCCACACCGGGACGAGAACCGTCGGGTCGTATCAGTCGATCATTCATACTTCCTAAGGAGACTACAGTTGACGGAGGCTTCCTATAAGGCTCACTTGTAATTTCACAATTTTATGTACAAATCACTCTTCAAAGTATTTATGCGCGGTGCAAACGACAACGAAACAATAGCTATTTTTCTCCTTTTGCCTATGCATGAAAATCGAGGGCTCCCCGTGTTTTTTGTTTAAATACTTTGACAGTCTGAAATTGCCGCTGTTTTGTTGTCTTAAATCCACTTTATATACGGTAGCAACAGTAATCATCTGTGTCTAATATGTGATTAAGTTTTTTGCTATTTCAGGCTGAAAATCTTTTACTAGATTCCAATAATAATATTAAAATAGCAGATTTTGGATTTTCGAATTACTTCACAACAGGAGGACAACTCTCGACTTGGTGCGGGTCACCTCCGTACGCCGCCCCTGAAGTGTTTGAAGGCAAGAAATATGTTGGACCGGAAATTGATATATGGGTAAGTTAATTTCAACCTGCATTAGTTCAAACAAATCCGTAATACACTAGTTTAAAGGGCCGTTCACACGCTCAAGCCATTTACGCAAACTGGCGTGCGCCAGACCAATCGCACAAGCAAATCGCGAGAAATTTGGCTCGAGTAAAATCTATCCTGACAGAAGATTTACTTCAGATCTTTGCGTTGGCTTGAGCGTCTAAACGACGTTGAATGAATTTGGAAAAGGGATTCAGACAGAGATACGGCGTGAGTCGGTCGAACCTATTCCACCACCAGCGGACAAGTGAATCTCGTCTCTGCTAACAAATCAAAATAATGAGTCGTTGCCGGCGCCAGTCCCCATCCGGTGCAAAAATATTACCTACTGTTTGGAAAATGTTAGTCGGTATTTAGATACACGTCCTCAAGCTTTAATAAAGGCATGGGTTCGCCTGTGCGATGAATATATGCGTCTGACGCAATCAGCGGCTGCAGCGTCCATGGCATGCGTCGAACGTGGTTTCGCTTGTGCGTCCAAAAGTTGTTAAAAGTCGGCAGCCCAACACAGTATAGACTTCTAATTAGAGGAGTGAGAAATTAATAAGAGAACTCTTCTCCTATTAATTAGAATCTAGCTCTTCGTAACTGGAAAAACCTTGACAGCTCCAAGAAATTTCCGATTCAAGTGAATTTTTCCTCACTTAAAGTAGCCGTTTTTTTTAGAGTGATGTTATAGACCGCATTCAAGAATTTCTGGTTTTTCCTTAGCAAGTTCAACAAATTTTCCTCAGTCAACTCGCCTTAGAAATTGAAAACTGCAGCCCAGAAATTTCAAATTGAACTGCTGCGATCGCCGATAAAACGCAAACTACTTTGTCTAAAATCGCATCGCTACGCCCAGACTGACATCGCGTTGCTCAGCGTAGCTGGCAGTATGCACAGAGTACCCTAATATTGTACAGTTAAGGTTACGTTTACGTGACCGCCACGTGATATGAACTCGCCCGAACACAAGGCCGCAACATGGATCGTCTTTCCCATTCTGCCACGAGACTACCGACTCACTGGTCCTTCTCGTAACATACGATACACGCTTCATCTTTCTCGCCTTGCTCAGCCTTCAATTAATAATTTGTCCCATGTCTCCGGAACAGGCTCATCTCTCTCTCATCATAGAACTTTTTCCACGTTTCACTGGGAGGCTAATATTGTAGTGCATTTCATTCGGCCTTCATCCGCCGACTCACAGGTGGTAGCAACAGCTCAAAGGGCCAACAGTTCACTACATAAGATCTACGCCTTCTCAATTCAAATACTACATAAAATAGATAGGCCCGGAACGAAACACATAGTGTTTCAACGCTCGCCATAAGGCGGCGGTCCCACAGAACCACCGGTGGTGACCGGTGACCATCAAGCAGATTTCTAACATGCGATTCCCATTGAACGGTCTCACAGAAAGCTTCACTAGTCATCCACGACCATCCACTGCTAACCACCGTTTCGAAATTTCGAACTCATTCGTAGTTTAGTAGAAGGCGGTGAATGCACGCATTCGGGATAGAAATGATATCGGCTTGGTTTGGGCACTTTCATGAAAAATTAGGTTATAAACAGGTAAATAGTGGAAGCCAGTGAATAATTGCTGTGAGACCGTTCGTTGCAGATTCCATAATTTTAGTCGGTGGTAGTGGGTGATCGTTGATGGCAGTGGTTTAAGCYATTTAGACCAGTGAAACTAAGCGCCTTYTCAGACGAGTCACTCTGTAGCGGTTCTCAGCGGCGCCGCTGAGAAGYTAAGATTCGACAACAAGTCGCAGCTTAACATTGTACCGGCCCCTCTGSAGCGCTTCTGAACACTCAAGCGTAAAAATTACACCTTCATATACTTCCAAGTTTTGTTTTCGTGATACAAACTTTCTTAATACGTGTTTTTTTTTATCAAATACTAGCTGACCCGGCAAACGTTGTTTTGTCATAAAAATKATTTCTAGGAATATTTTAGTAGAAAACAATTACTTATTGTCAGTGTGTGCCGATGTGGTATATACATATGAGTTGAAGGGGCATGGAGCGCTGTGAAGAATGATGGAATYTAAWAATWACACAATTTAATAATTTTACTAAAAAACAATATCAATCCCTTCACGCATAGTTGGCATCCTGRACGGTGTTGTCACCGGTCGTGTAGCCAACCTTTTGGGGGTAGTCAACCACTCAAAATTAATAACTTTATTTATAAGAATAAATAATTACAGCCCTTCTAATTAATGACATTGAAATAGTGAAATGATAATGGTACTCCGGTACACGTCTGGAGTAACCAATTGATCAGTTATCGACCGGGGTTGAAAATTATTGAATTTCTATTATCACTATTAAAAAATAGGGCTGATGGTAGAGGGGTAAAAACTTAGGGTTGCATGTATTTTTAATACAATATCATAAAAAAAATAAAAATAAAAAAATGTTTACCAAAAAATTAGTGTGTACGACTCTTACCACTTAGAGGTTTAAAAAATAGATTCTATTCTACCTATTCTCTGACCTACGGAATATACATCTAAAATTTCATCAAAATCTGTCAAGCCGTTTCGGAGGATTTTATATTCCTCTGGAGGTGTTGTCTGGCGCTGTCTGGCGCTGCTGGAGTACAGAAAAAATAGTAAAATAAATTAATTGTTATTAAAAACTGAAAAATTTGCAAAAAAACTATATCAGAAAGACGGCGGCAGTGTTTTTCAAGGTAATCTGCCTAATTAACATTGCGTAAATACATGTTGCTTCGTAATTATTTAAAACTCCGGTAACCATGGAATTATACAGAGCCTTAACTTGCCAATAAGATAGACAAGTATAAACGGTAAATTCAACAAGATTCTTTGACTGCGGAACGTACTTTCGAAATGCCAAGCTGTTCTTAACTCACAGTTCTTAAGTCACAGTTTGACAAATTATTGTTATTATTGACAAGGGCTACCCACCTGTAACTATCTGTTAATGACAAAAAAACAGCATTGCCGCTGTGACTTTATCAAAAAATTGTAGAAGAGAACTTTTTTTATATCAAATTTTTTTGTAATTTGAAGCAAAGCTCGTGATTTTTCTTTTTGAATGCTTAAGTATTCCAATGTGCCACCAATTAAACATGGAACAATTTCTAAATAATGCTTAATAACACAGTTGAAATTCGATCTTCAACTGTTAATATCGTCTAGAAATTTTGGAAAAAAACTTTTCTCGTACTCCCCAAGTGAGCCTCTATCACCCCTTAAAAGCAATTTCGCCAATTTTAAATCACCCTGTATGTATTTTATGTTATAATTACAAATGTTTTTTCCAAAATTAAATAAATAATAATATAACACAACAATGAGAAGTTGCATTCCAGTTGAAGATAAACTGCTTACAAAAGCAGACGCTTTTCACACATTTACATAAAGAATCCCGACCAGTGTGTCTATTCTTGACTTTGAGAGAAGGGAGTATCCCCGGGAGCATCACAGGG